ATGATAAAAATTAATCTTTTTAATGTGTCTATATCACTAAAAAATTAAAAAAGCTGTTTGAGATGAAAGAAAAATAGCAGAAAACACAGGTCCCTGGTTCGATCCTCGGGCCGGGCAGGGTTGACTCAGCCTTTCATCCCTTCAGTGAGTCGATAAATGAGTACCAAGCATGCTTGGGAACTAAACACTGGGGGGCGGCATTCACTGGGGGCGCGTTCGGCCGACCACCTGACCGGAACATCTGCTTCTGCACCCCAGAGCCCAAGGTCTTGGCCCTCTAGGGCTGTCGCGCTGCTGAGTTTATATATATATATATTTAAATTTATTTTTAATCAAAGACTTAAACTAATATGTACACATATTTGTTGCAGAATTGGTTAACAGAAGACATTATTAATTTAAGGTTTTAAATGGCTATTAATTTGCTTCTGGATAAATGAAATTTAAATATTATTAATAATCATTATCCAAGAAAATGATTTCTTAAAATGTTTATTTTCGTATTTTCAATTAATTTGTGTTTATTATTTATTTATTTAATTAATTTATTTATTTATTTGTTTTATTTTTATTTATAGATTGTACAAACCAAACTCGGCAGCATTTATTGTATGAATTTTGTGTTTATAGACTAATTAGAAGGCGTTCAATATACAAATTTATACTTTCCTTTCCAGAAACCCTTCACTAAATCTTTTAATTCCTCTAAAAAATCAATTTAATCAGCATTTCTAAATTTACTCCTTACCAAAATGGTAGTGGCTCGGTTAGAAAGATTATTGATATTAAAATTTAGAATTTAAATAGATTCTAATTTTTCAAAAATTTCCCAACTATTCAAAGATTAATTTTCTTTAAAAAAAACTTATTTTAAAATAAAGACTTTAATTTTAGAACTTCATCCATATTCTCAAATACACAGATATTTAAAATTTATTTTTAATTAAAGAATTAAACTAATCTGTATTGTAACAGAATTGGTTTACAGAGGACATCACAGATTTCAGAGTTTAAATGGCTTTTTATTTTAATTTGTTTCTTGGAAAATGAAATGCTAATTATGCATTATCAAAAATCATTATTTATGCAAAATTATTTAAAATAATTTTTTCTGTGAATCTAATGACTCAAATAATTTTTCTTGCAAATATTAAGTAATTTTCTTCCATGATATTTAATCTTTTTTTCCCTTAAGCAAATAAAAAAAATATATACTACATATTGTGTTTACAAAATTGGTAAATAGATAGCAGCACTATATCCGAGATCAAAACGTTTTTTTTCTTCTGTTATATGTATCTTGCAAAATGAAATTTAAATAGTATCGAACTTTTTATTTATGCATATGTTTTGGAGCCTTAACGAGTAAAATAACTTTTCACGACAATAATATTTAAATAAATTTTGAAGTATAATTTCCATGAAGTATAAGTATTTATTTCCATATTTTCATCTAACACATTTTCAAAAGACCCAATCAATAATTTACTGAAGTTACATATTTCTTTAAAATAATTATATATTTTTTTCTTCTGATTTGTGTTAAAAATTAAATTTAAAATTAACGTGTATTGACGTAAATTAACGTAAATTAACTGAAGTTATTGTCCGTTGTTAGTCGTTTCTTTAGCTTATAATTTTGAAATGAGATGGCAGCACAACTGTGATGTTATTAAGATTTAGTTGGAGTTAATAAAATTTAACAGTGCTTGTCATTAAAATTTTGCTTGATTATTTTACTTAATAATCTAACAAGTTAAACTAATTCTTATCCAATGATTCCTTGTGTGTTTTAGGTTAAATTAAAGTATTAAGAAAAAGTTCTTTGATTTTAAAATAAATTCATATTGCTATGTGGAGCAAACAACTTATATTATTGATAAAAAAAAACAAAGATATTAATAATAAAACTAATAAGCTAATTAAATAGTTAAAAATAGTATTATTTTGCTTCTTTACTTTGTTACTTATTGTTACTTTGTTACTTATAATATTTGACTATTTTACTTTTTCATCAATTTTCTATCTTCTTTGGTTATTTTCTCTCAGTTTTGATATATCATTCGGATATATTAAGAGTTCCATTTGCACTTCTACTTTCAGGTTATGATTTTTTTTTTTAAATTTTCAATTTTTATTATTAACAAGAAAGTAATACACAAGGTGGTAGGAGGCATTCAATAGTGTAAGTTGTTCGTGGTTGAAGAAATGTATCGGATAAAATCATGCTATGCAGGATGTAGATGAAATCCAGACAGCCCAACAAAACTTTTCTTGAGAAAAGTTAGAACATCCACCGCACAGTCAAGATTTGACACCCTGCGACTTCCACATCTTTGGGAAACTTATAAGGACGCCATAGCAGGGAAGAAAATTTCTCTCGCAAATTCTCTTTCCCCTTCATTTTAATTTTAAATTGTCGAAAAAATGAGTTCAGACAAAACTAGAGTAAGCCATGAAGTTTCAAATACTGAAAAGAAAATTTAAAAATGTACAAATTAAAATAAATAATGAGATGATAATTTTGGATTACTCAACGGAGAAGTTCTCTTCTAATAATTTATTTGCATTTTAATATTTCGAAGTATTTTCTTTCAGCAACTCAAACTTCATGACTACTCATGACTACTTTGAATGAACTTCTTTTAAATTTTAAATTATTGATATTGATATTTAATTGATATTTCTTTCTTTTAAATTTTAAATTAGGAATGAAGGAGAAAGAGAATTTGCAACAAAACTTTTATTCCGCAGTAGAGCTAGTACTGTCTTTACGCATGAGCAAGTTAGGGTAGTGGCCTAGGGTCCTAGGCAATCAGGGGGCCCTTGAGGATCTTACTTTTTTTAAAAATTTTATTAAAAAGGCTAACAATTAACAAAATTATCTTACATATTTTAAAATAAATATATGCTACAAATAGTGATTGATTATCATGCATACACCAATAATTTGAATATTTATCACCAAGAGGAAACTGAATCTATTTTTCTACGTCTCAATGAAACTCTTAGGTTCTTGGGTATTGTAAGATGCTTTAATAACTGTTTAGTTTGACAAAATAATTCATACCTTTTGAATTTTTTTTAGTTGTTATACCTCTATATTTATTTAATTACGTTAATTAACTTCCATAGTTCAGAAAATTATTTTATTATCTGAGGATTGCAACTGGTAAACGTCTCAACTTCTTTTTTCAATTATGCATAGCTTAAAAACGCTATATTTGAGTTTTTGAGGTAATCAAAATGTGTTTAAATTTGTCAAAATTATTGCATTGTATCTTAAAAATGCTTTATTTTATGTATGTGAAGCTTTTTAAGTTCATTCTTAAACATTATAAGGGTCTATAATGTTTAAGGGTCTAAAATAAAATGCTATAAAGGTCTAAACATTTTTGTGCCCCGGGGGCCCTGCATGCTATTAAGGCAACGTCTTCTTAAGAGAGTATTATAGAGGACGCATTTCTATTCGGACCACGAAGTAAAGGAAGCTCTGCAGAACTTCCTTTGGATTCTAACACAATCTTTCTACAATCAGTGTTACGACAGTGTATAATAAAATTATATATATATATATAATATAAACACAAAGAAAAATTATAAAATAAAATAGAATTTTTTTTTAATCTGAAAACGTAAAGGTTTTCTTCAGGACGCATTCCCTTTTGATGGTAAATGCGATATTTCCAAGCAAAAAATAAGTAATAAATAAAAAAGTTTAAAATAAATTAAAAAATTTAAGTTGCAAAGAAAAACAAAAACATTAAAATAGGTAATCGTTGTTTATATATATATNTATATATATATATATATATATATATATATATATATATATATATATATATATATATATATATATATATATATATATATATATATATATATATATATATATATATATATATATATATATATATATATATATATATATATATATATATATATATATATATATATATATATATATATATATATATATATATATATATATATATATATATATATATATATATATATATATATATATATATATATATATATATATATATATATATATATATATATATATATATATATATATATATATATATATATATATATATATATATATATATATATATATATATATATATATATATATATATATATATATATATATATATATATATATATATATATATATATATATATATATATATATATATATATATATATATATATATATATATATATATATATATATATATATATATATATATATATATATATATATATATATATATATATATATATATATATATATATATATATATATATATATATATATATATATATATATATATATATATATATATATATATATATATATATATATATATATATATATATATATATATATATATATATATATATATATATATATATATATATATATATATATATATATATATATATATATATATATATATATATATATATATATATATATATATATATATATATATATATATATATATATATATATATATATATATATATATATATATATATATATATATATATATATATATATATATATATATATATATATATATATATATATATATATATATATATATATATATATATATATATATATATATATATATATATATATATATATATATATATATATATATATATATATATATATATATATATATATATATATATATATATATATATGTATATATATATATGTATGTATATATATATATATATATGAGTGTGTGTGTGTGTACAATAATAGAATTATAAAATAAAATTTGAAAAAATTATTTCGGAAAACGTAAAGATTCTTTACCCAGACACTTTTCTTTACGTAGTAATATTTCGAAATGAAAAACAATTATCCTATGATAAAAATTAATCTTTTTAATGTGTCTATATCACTAAAAAATAAAAAAGCTGTTTGAGATGAAAGGAAAAATAGCAGAAAACAAACTTGCCGATATGAGTAAAAAATAAGAATGCCTTAAAAATAGATATATTAATCTGACATTGTAATTACATAATATAATAAACATTGAAGATTGATATTTATTGTCGGATTGCTTAGTGAGTGCAAATAAAGCAATTAAAATAATCCAAAACATCTCATTATTTTCTATTTTAACAGTTTTCTTATGGTTTCTTTAGTTTTCTGTAGTAATGCTCTCGAAAAACATTTTTATTATGTTCTCCACCGTCATAAATTCTGAAATAAAAGAAATGAAACAAAATCAATTATTTATGCTACTTATTGTGTATATCATAGATATGTGATTTGGATGTCCAAATTATTACATTAATTATTTTGATCTTAAATTATACAAAAGTCATTTTTATATATAACTGCTTCACCAATTTCAAATTAACATTTTCACGCTTATTATGCTCGTGAAAATAAAAAAAATGTGTCGAAGCACAATTTTCTTATTTCCTGCACCACCATAGTTTCTGAAATAGAAAATTATTAAATAAAGTTTAGTGAATTATTTACGCTATTTATTGTGTAAATCTAATATGTAATTAAAGTACACAAATGAAATAAAAGCAATTATTGAATAAAATTGAAGGAATTATTTATACAACTTATTGTTTTTAGATTATAAGTAATTAATTTTATAACATCGATTTATGCAATAATAAATCGATGCTCTAAAAATACTCAGATGAAATAAAAAATTATTGAATAAAATTGAATGAATTATTTATGCTTCTTATTGTGTATATCTTATATGTTATTAAAATACTCAAATGAAATAAAAAATTATTGAATGAAATTGAAAGAATAATTTATGCTACTTATTGTGTAAATTATGAATAATTTTAAAATATTCAAATCAGTAGATCAATTAATCATTAACATAATTTATAAAATTGTCATTTTATAAATTTATACAGAAATAACCAAGTTAATCTTTTTTTACAATTATACATTATTAATTTTGAAGCTTCAGAAAAATAATAATTAATGTTAAAGCGTAAGGTATAAATTTAAAAACCAAGCAAGAATCTAAACATTTAAAAAAAGGTTTTACATGAATTGTAACATTTAGAAAAATTCTTGGATTTTCCAGAAAGAAAAAAAATAATAATTCGCATAAATCATCAGAGTAATTCGCGCCATGACAAACTTGCAAAAAAAGGACACTATATATAATTTAGGTGCATAGTTACTACTATTTTGATGTTGAGTGAAACTAAATTTTTTGCAGTGAGTGTATAGTGTGGTTTTCCGGAGAACTCCAGACATCCGTCTCGCGTCGTGGCGGGTACTATGGTTAAGAGGAAAGATCTCTTCGAATAGGGGTGTGGGGTGAATAGTTTTAACTTAATCTAAGCGTAGGTCGTCGCGAGTAATCCTTCTTTCTTCCATTTCACCCCCATTAGAAATGTGCTCACGCTTGTTACCATAGCAGCAGACAAACCCAGACTTTCAGTCTAGAGTTGTTCTCCTCAAAGTTTTTTTTTTAGTATAGTCACATCTTTATTCGATTTTTCACTGTATAGTTTTATTTACTTACTTATTATTCCTTTGTTTCTTCGCTTACAGACAACACATGTGTTCATGCGCATGGCTTCATTACAAAACCATTTAATTTAAAAAACAAGTATATTTTTAGTAATTTATTCGAACTAATTCTTTCAATATAATTTTCGCACAATAACTACAGAATGTACTAAGTTTAATTTAACACCAAAAATGGTGACAACCATACACCAAAATTTTTTTCTGTGTAGTGTGGCACTGTGTAGAAGATAAGACGTTTGTGCGCAAATATTTCAAATGTGTAATACTGAAAAGTATTTCTTTTATTAAAAAAGAAAATTAGTGTCCATCAGTTTATTAGTTTCATGCCGAAATAATTTTATATAAATATCTTTTTTAAATCATATTTGGCCTATTAAAATATTAAAAAAACTGAAAAATAATATTTATGAGTTGTAGTAGATGTAGGCTAAAACGTTACATTCATTTATAAAAAAATACATTCTTATTCTTTTTTTATGATTTTTACTAACTAAACATTTATTTATAAAAAGTTTAAAAAGAAAAAAAAGGACATACGAAAGATAAAAGATTTTTAAGAAACATCCTATTCAAAATTCTTCCAATTCAACATGACAGATTTATTACCTTTCTGTAACGAAAAAAATACAGGGTCTTATCACATTTTTGGAATCCATCTCAAAAAAGAAGTAAAAAATCATAGACATTTTTGTACTTGTACCCATTTACACCTCTGGCCTTGTTACATCGACATCACAAAAAGGTTGAAAAATAATGCATTTTAAAAAAACTTAATTAAAACCTGGTTATTACAGTGTTAAAACCTTTATTAAAATTTTATTAAAACCATCAATTAAACATATTTTAAAGCCTTTATCCCACTTCCTCAATGTCATTAGCTAGATTTTAATAACATTTTCCATAACTTAAATATTAACTTGCGAGCTCTAATATTATGAACTAAACTTTGATCAGAATGCTTGAAATTCATATGAATGGCAGTAATTTCGAATAATCACGTATATTAATGATTAAAAGATTTCTTTCAAAAAAGATTTCCTGTCTCTCGGTGACTTTGAAAATAAACTCACGTTCTTTCTGCCCAGTTTCAATGTTGTTGACGAGTAGTTTCTAATAAGGGAACAAGTTTCCAATAAAATTTAAAGAAATTGAACTTTTAAACACGCCATTTGTAATATGCTATAAAAGGTACTACTGCAATTGCTAATCCTAAGCCTAGAAAAGTGGGAAAGGAAGTTAGTTCAAAAAATTCTCATTGTAGTCTCTTAAAGTTGTCCAATTATCCGGATGCTTCATTATCCAGAATCGGCTTTGGTTCCGATTGGGCTGGAGAATCGACGCTCTACTGGCAATTGTTTTGATTGTTATGGTTCGGGTCCAAGATGAATACCTAATTGCCTACCTTCCCCGAAGTGAGCATAAGCGGCCATCTGGACTTGATTGAAGGGGGACATGGGTCAAAAAGGGAAAAACTTATACAGACAAGTTAAGTGTTGTCTTCTATTAATTCCTCCACGCTATATTAAATACTCATACTAAACTTAATAGATCCTATAGTTCAGTTACTATAATGAATTTAGTTAGAAGGAAGTTTGAAAAAAATAGAATTTCTAAGCGTCTGAAGTACATATCTAGAAAAAAGAGGTATTATTTCTAACGTATTTCCCATGCTGAATTGAATGAAATCAAAGTAAAATTAATAGGTATAATTGATCAAAAGTTTAAAGAATTTTTTTTTTGTATAAGAAATACCATTTCGTACTAGTAACTTTACATATCAACTATGCAACATTGATGTATGCATTGCTTTTGCTTAACTTAATAATACCAAAACCAATTCAATAGGATAAATTGTTTAAAAGTTATAAAACTTTCAAGAATAAAATTATAACTCTCACATTTTTATGCGTAAAACTCGTTACGGATTCGAAACTATTTGTTATATCAACTAATTTTCGATTTTATTGAATTAGGTAAAAAAATACATGAAAAATGTCTCACTTGTCTAGATATAAATATCAGACACATAAGTAAAGCAGAAGGAAACATTTGTCTCCAGAATAATCATGATCTCAAATTTACAGCAAACCAGCAGAAATACCGATAAGCAATATTAAAGCTAAATGATTGCTAAGTAAAATATAAATTCTGATTTAAACAAATTATAAACTAAATTATGTATAGATTCAAAATATTACACCAACATAAGGAGAGAAAAATAATCATATATTTTTCACAAAAATATTTTACAGCATTTTAATAATTACATACCATATGTGCAATAAAACTTCTGGAAAATAAATTATTTTAATTTAGAAATATATAATATTTCTGGCATATGGGAAAAATTTATGAATCACTTTAGAAAATGACTCAACCGTTTAGTTTAATTCATTAGTCCAATTTCAGAAAGTAAACAGACAAGACGCATATCAATATAATAAACAATACGAAACTTGACCAAATTGGTCAAATAGCTTAGAGCCTTTAGGGGAAAACTAACGAGATGCATTATTTAGTCAATATCAAAATGCTTACCTCATTTAGCGAAGGAGTATTTCTACCTTTGAGAAACAACCCTAATATGTCCAAAATCAATAAGGAATCACTTGTTGTAGTCTTTACTTCTCCATATTGGTTGTTCATTTTCACAGAACGCTTAAGCATTCTATCTGAGTTATAACTGCAGCCTCCGAAAACATTACAAAACACTCGTTTTCCTTTCGAAATCATTTCGAAATCCTGCAAATAAAAATTAGGTTTATTTTAATAAGTATGCGGGTAATCACAACAAACCTAAGGAAATATTATTTCAGTTTCTGAGCATCGCTGTTTTGCATGACGCGTTATAATATAAAATTTTTTGATGAATTACGCTTCTCACTGCGAAAGTATTGCTTTTATAATTCCAATAATAAGTAAGTCAAATAAAACTTTCAGTTATTTTCACACTCTTAGAATTTTCTAGGAAAAAATAGTAATTAACAATTCATTTGATAGTTATTTTACCGTATTTAAACAAAACAGTCAAATAGCCATAAATAAGATGGCATTCATACTGTTAACTTTGAGAAAAACCATTCATTAACTGCTTTCACCTAATACGGTTAAACAACTAGAATTTTATAGCACCTAGTATGTTCACCTAATCAAGCCACTTAGTTTTTTGTAGTTGAGAACATATTATTATCGAGAGGGCTACTCTGTCAATGACGGAACTGATCGACGGAACTGGGTTCGAGTCCCAGCATTGACACCAAATATTTCATCCATTCCCTTCAACACATGAAGAGTTTCCAGTGTCCTGCACTCTCCAATTTGTGCACCTGGACTATTAGAATATGATACTATCACTCACGCCTAGATGGCAGCACCATTAAAACTGCTCCACACACAAAAAGTTTAGTACTTCCCACCTCTTACGATTTTGAAACAATGCAAGTTGTAAATGGTTAAAAAAAAACAGATAGTTTTGTATTCATGATTTTTTATCCATATTAGTTTTAAACGGTTCGAAAGCCGTTAAGGTAAAAAATGCACTTTAACGTTAACCTTATGGTTAATTGACTGAACAGAATGCTGCCGGTTATCTTACCGTAATTTTAGAATGAAAATTTAACAGTGTAAATTGAATAATTCGCGTAAATCATTGAATTATCTATTGGTTGAATATTTAAAAAACAGCCTAGAATTTTCTATTTGTTGGATGATTAAAATAAACTAGTTATAACTAAAATTGGGTAATGTTACTTATTTAATGATAATTATTCAAACATTAGTGTGGTAATAATTCTTGTAAAATTTTAGTTTTTGAGGAGTATTTAAATTTCAACAAGCATATTTAAATCTTCATTGCATTCAATGCATCCTCAAAAAGATTAGTTTCTCTGTCATGTCACTGTGTTATAAGGAATTTAAAATCTTTAGTAAATTACTTTGCTTAACTATTATCCCAGTAAAATTTAACCCTTTGACGCAGATTGGACACAAGTGCCCCTTTTATATTTCTTTTCTGACTCTCTTATTACAAGCAAAAATATATTTTTTTGTAATATTTAAATAAAAAACAGTCTAATAGTTACTAAAGAAATATCTTAGATTATCAGAATTACATTTGTACAAAAATATAAAATCCAAAAAAAAAAAGAAGTTTGAATCTATTTTTGTATTCATATTCAAAAATTCACCAATAATTAATTTTCCTTGTTATCGAAATTTCAACAATAAATAAATGTTTCTTTCTAGATATAAAAAATAACTGCTAATAGGTGCAAATTGGAAAAATTAAAGTTCGGAAGTGAGTTTGGAAGATATAGTTTGGAAGAATTTACCTCTAACGCAAAAAAAAGTCACCGGTTTTTTATGCTGTATTTTATTACCACAAATTATTAAAATGCTAAATATAATATTTTTCACTTATTTTAACCAAATTTAATACAAAATAAAGAAAAGTATCAAAAATATGTTTAATAAAATTTCTACGTCATTATGTTAACATACTTTAATTCATTAAAACTATGAAGTAAATTAGAATTTTTACGAAATATCTGCTTCTGAAGCAAAAGTATATTTAAAATAACGTTACAAAATTTGGAATTTTCCATTGCGTAAAATTTTACCTTAACAATACCTAATCTAATATAGGATGCACCTAAACCACCACCTTCAATACACATTATTAGGCTTCTTCTCAAAAATGAAAAATGCAAAGGCAGCAAATTAATATTTATAAGAATAAAAACAAAAACGTTATTTAATTTTGATGAACCTCTATTGAGGAAGTCGTAATTAACAACAATTCGCCATTTTTACATGATAACTATGCATTTATCCTCTAATTCAGAAACGTCCACTATACTTTTCAAATATTAGTATTTTTTCATATTATCGCCATAATTTTTTTTGTTGTCTAAATTAGTTTAACGATTCCTTTTATATTAGTTTCACTAAACATCCAGATAACACAACAAAATATTTTATAACTAAGTAAAATAGGTGTCTGATTTTTATTGATTCTACTTTTGATTTGTTATAATGACTCTGATGGTTATAATTAATCATTTAATATGATGCTGTAGTCTATGTACTCTTTTTATAAAGATTATATAGCAGCTTGACCAAATGTATGTGAATATCATTTATGAAAAATATGAATAACATTGTGCTACTGTTATTATTTTTAGTACACTTTTTTAATTGATACACATCCGTGTTGTATTGTTTTATAAATCCTACAATAAGTATAGTAATTTATTTGTTTTTTTTTCGTAAAAATTTGTTTAATTATTTATTTATTTATATTTTTTTCTTCCCACAGCTCTTTATTTTCTTTGCTAAACTATATCTAAGCTCCTCGAATTTATCTTTTTTTTCTTTAGTATTCTTTGAAAAGTAGAATTTATTGAAAATGAAGCTACAAATTTTGTTTTCTTATTTTTTAACTTCTTAAAAACATATATATTTGATGTTTGTAATTTTTCACACTTTCAGAAATTACCTAAATGCAAAAACCAAATAAGTTGAATTAAAAAGCATTTTAAGCTGAAAATTGCGATTGAATAAAGAACTCACTTTTTTACTGTATGCAAATGAGCTGAATGCAAAGAAGTATACAATTAGAAAAAGCGGTAGCATCTTCTCAGGTTTTAACCTAGAATAAATTCAAAATAAGTTTTCATAAAATTAAACAGTTCATATTATTACAGTTTATCTAAACTAAAACACTTTTACACTATAAAGGCAAACCAAAGTCATCATTTCATAAAAGACATACAAAAGTCCTACAAACCACCCTTAAAAACATTTATTTTTATTGAACCTATGTTTGCAAAACTAAATTTATTTGTAAAAAATGATTTAAGAAACTATTTCACAATAAAAAGGCTGAACGAAATATAAACGATATTTCCCTTTAAAAATTAAAACAAAGGTAAGAAAAATTTAACAAGAATTTGAATCCCTAGTGAGAAATGAATCATCGTATTATAATCAGAAATTTGAGTAATCATAAAATACAGATAAAGTGGATCACCCTTAAGAATATTCAATAAGATTTTAAAATGCGTAATTATAAATCTAATAAGCAAATTGATCAGTTCCAAATAATAATTTGAATTTATGGTTTCGATTAGAAGAAGAATCAATTCAGTTATTATATTCTTAAGATTGATTGATCTCAAAATAAAAACAAAAAGAGCTATCCTTCAGAATTCCAAATACGAGTTTAAAATACATCATAAAATATAAGAAATGATAGTCAATAAATTCCAACAAAAATTCAGATTATCATCTTCTAATATCTGAAGACTAAATCATTGCAAAATACAGATAAGCGGGATCAACTTAAAGAAAATGTAATAAAATTTTTAAATCATAATGTGAATGTACATGAAAAAATCTAGTAAAATCACCGTACTTGTAAGATTGGAACATTTTTTGTGAAAAAAAACGTAATTAATGTAATAAACCAAAATAAACTGTATTTAAACCCTGCATTTGGTAAATTTTCTGTTCGTATGGTAACGATTTTTGTTTTCAAATATATAGTTCTTATTACCATATAATTAGTAAAAGTTAAAACCTTAATGGTAAAGTAGACTATATTAGCATGGTATTAAAACTGTAATCTGTTTTTTACGCCATGCTCTAAGTTATCATGATAAAATTATCAAATTTTACCACAATTACTACCAAACAGCATGGTAATAAAACCATACTTTATTGTTAATATTACAAAAGTCATTACCAAATCTCTTTGGTAAAAATTACCGCACTTTTTGGTGTTCTCATAGAGCCAGAAATTAGATTATACCTTTTTTCTCAGTGTAAGAAGCGCAAGTAAATTAATTTAAAGTACAAACTTAACACATTAATCTGATAATAAGAGACAGAATAAATGAAAACTTTTGAATAAATGAAGAGAATTAACAAAGATATTTGTGTGTTTAACTATTATCCAAAAATATTTCATACTTTTAAAAACTAATTACTGTGTTAAGAATATAAAAGATCTAAATAAAATATGTTCTTAAATAAGCATTTTTTATTTACATTTTTGTTGATCAAAAAGTAAACCACACCTACCTTACACACCCCAACCTAAACATTCTAAGTATTATTCTCCAACCCTTCATCAGAATATATATACGAAAACCAATTTTGGTTAGTTTCTTTAAATTAATTTCAAAGGACACGTGATATGAATAGTTAAGAATAACTGGATATCGAAATGATTTCCCTAGCAGAAATTTGATTAAAAAATGCACTTTCAAAACACATTGCATACTAAAAGACGACACAAAGTCTGATAGAAGAATATTCCAGCTTCAAATGTAACTATCTTGTGACTAATGGTCCAGTTGTCTAGCTATTATAGACAATATAATATACAAGTGTATCTAATAGAGACAGTGGCGTGTAGAGAGAATATTGAAGAGGGAACCGGCCTCAGGCAATCAATTAAAGGAGGCATCCAATATGTGATTAAGTTCGCTAAAATTGTTACTACATTTAATTCCAAAATTTAAAAAAATTGGATGAATACTACACACAATACAAAAATACTGAATAAAATTACTGTAAAATGTACAGGCAAACAGGGTGTTGGTTAATTTTACTGTGAACTCCATTTTTATCTAAACATGTTACGGAGCAAAAAATCGTACGTACCGCAATTTTTCAAGTAATAATTACTGTAAAATCTCAGAATGACTCTAATAAAATAAATATTACTGTAAAAGTTACGGTATAATATTTTAAGGTAAAAATCGATTTTATGGTAAAATAGAATTTACGGATGTGCCTATGCTTTATACCATAATTTGATCTGGAATTTTTTGCAGTGTAGGCTCAAATGATATATTTTATGATTTTCGAGAAAATTTTAAATATGAAGGCGGTATAGTTCATTAAACGTAAGTAATTTTAACATTTAAGAAAATTTCAGAATATTTTGTTTGAAATTACACATTTTATGATAGAGAATAATTTCGAATAATATTTATATGAAAAGAATTAAAATATGGTGATAATTAAAGTTTTTATGATATGTATCATTCCAATGCTTTTTTCGCACTTTAATAAAGTTTTTTTTGTCCTATCCAAAAATTAGATTACTACAAACCTCTTTTCATAGGTATCTAATTCAGGAGTTTTCTCCGGGTATCCACACTCTTTAGCATGCACTGAATATATATATTCAGTTCCATTTAACAACTTTAAACCAAGAAATAGTTAAATGATTAAAATTTATTATTTTACAAAAATAAATCCTGTTGTTTAAATTAAACACATTTAATTTATGATTATTTTTCTAATACCTTTATTTATTTGTATTTTTTTAAATATGGAAATAATATTTTTAAAATAACTATTTTATTTCAAAGCCCTTCACTAGCCTATCCAAAATATACAGTATTTAATATACAGTATTAAATATACAGTATATACAGTATATCTTCTGATAATTTTTCCGTTCATATGGGGTCTTCAAAATCATAGTTTTTATTACCACGCATTTAGTAAAAATAACATACCTGAAAAGTATATGTAACCGAATGAGGCTGGGATAGCCTGGTTGGTAGGACGTTGGGCCCATGTCCAATAGGTCGTGAGTTCTACCCCCGCAGGCCGAAGACGCCCCGCCCCGTGTAGTAAATGGTGACTGATGCATGTTAAATCTGTTGGGTTACAAAGTCCTCTATTTTTCGAAAACAAATTATACCTCTAGGGGTATAAATCATAGATTTATCGTTTTCTGATTCAAGTCAAAATTACGATCTGTGGACGAAGGGCTGTATGAATGGGTCCACCCTATAAACGGGATGTGAGGAGTATGTAGCTGAAGTCGTATTCTTAGCCATACATGGCACCATTGACAAAAACAAGAAACGCACCTTCTGTCTGAAATTCGTTTGGCACCAAGCAGGCTTGCTGACATTGGCGAGTGGTTTTCGAAACAGCTCTCCAACACATTGGTAATGAATTTGCAGTGAGTTTTCGTTCTTCTCACCGTACGATATATTGGCCACGTAAGACAGATTCACTACAAGAGCTCTTTGAATTTCCTTTTTTTCAAAAAAAGAAAAAAAGAAAAACACTTTGGTATTACTAATATACTAACATATATACTAATAGAATATACTAATTACACTAAATCATTTTTGAATTGAATCACGAGTACATTTGAGTGACGCGCCATGTATTTCCGTCACATTTTTCTTATGAGACAGCAAGGGATTTCCATCAATCTTTTGTTAGTAAATAAAGAAATTTCACGATAAGCATCCATTCATTATTTTGTCCTATTATCTACGTAAATATATTTAAAGACTTCATTCATGTCTTCATCCTTTACACATCAATAAATATAAATTACGTGTAATTTTCACTATTTGTGGATGGGAAACCTAATTTACTTCAAAAAGAACTTGTAATTTCCTTTTGAAAAACATAGCAAAATCTGTTTGGACCATTCCATTTTTTTTCTTTTTTTCTTTTTCAGCTTCAATATTTTGAATATTTCCAATGTTCATGTTTTATCATGATTAGTGAATCTTCCAACATTTTGTTACATAATATAATATTTTACCACAAAATATTATACAGTAATATTCGCAGTAATATTAATTAGAGTGATTCAGAGATTTTACGGTAATTATTACTGCAAAAATTACATTAATTATTACTATAAAAATTACAGTAATTGTTACTGTAAAAATTGGATTTTACCGTAATTTTTGCAGTATAGTCCGTAACGTGTGTTAAGATATGTAGGATTCATAATTATATAATATATAATTTAAATTATGTAAATAAGATGAAAAATTTACTCTAATAGCACTGACTTCTAAACTTCATTTGTTTCTTTAACAAAGAATACCCTTGCATTAAATTAAAACTTAATTTAGAATAAATAATTCTGCTAAGTTAGTTTACGAAGAGAATTAGTGTGGTCGGATTTCAATTTCAATAATTAGAGTGGGTGGTTGTCTATGATCACATCCTTTACCACAAGTGCTTTTTGATTAAATTGCCGTCAACAGTCCTGCAGAGCTGTTGCTTTTGGTCAATTGAGTAAATAACATTAATGTTTAAACAATGTCTCTCCTGTTCCTAAACAAATCTCTCGTTTTTCCTACAAAGATATAACGGTATGCTTTAGATTTGATTAAAGCTTTACTGAGGTTTGCAGAGAGAGAAATAATAATTTATATATAATTGAGTTTATATTGTGTATAATATTGTATAGGAAAATTGAGTGAAAGGAAAAGCATTAATAATATTCTTTGATAAATATTAATATATATTTTTTATAAATATTAATGCATATTTTTTATAAATATTAATATATATTTTTTATAAATATTAATATATATTTTTTATAAATATTAATATATATTTTTTATTAATATTATTATATATTTTGATATATATGCATATTCAATATATTTCTTGGTAAAAATAAAAATAATTTTTACCTACATGATTGCTTTTTTTGAAAAAAAAATATTCAATAACTATATTCAATATTCAGTAATTATCAAAAATATTCTACTTAAAGATTATTATATTTTTGATAAATATCTATATTTTTTATTGATGAGTGATTATACATTTTTCTTAAACAGCAACAATTTTTTTTATAAATATAATACACTTTTTTATGAGTACTGTATTTTATGAATATTACTCTTTTATAAATATTTTTTATGAAAAGTCTTTAAAAAAATTATTTTATTTTTCATAAATGTTTCAATTTTTTGATAAATGTTAACTGATTTCTCAAAAAAGCTTTCTACAGATTTTTTCTTCCCGACAATGTATATTAACATTCCAAAATATTTACCTGAATCTTAGGTTTAAACATTTGTTCTGTTCTAATCTTAATCTTACGGTACTTATATCCTAATTTTTTTCTTTAGTGGAAATTTTCTGAGAGATTTTGATTTTGTTTTGTGAAATTGAAGTTAAGTTATCCTTCGGAAGCAGTCATTTTGAAATTAAAGGGAGAATTATGAAAGCAACGTTAAAATATCTACAAATAAAGGAAGTGGCAAACATGCTTTTTATTTTCATTCCATAAACAAACTGGTTTTAATGATATTTATTCTACAGTCACGATCACTGTCATAGACATATATACATATTTTATACAATACAACATATACAATATACGCAATGCATCCCATATACAATATATAATATGCAATATACGATATACATTATGCAATACACCGTATACACTGCTCAAAACAATTAAAAGAGAGTGAGGTTGGGGATTGATCTTGCACCTGGACAATTGTTTGAATGATTGATACATTATCAACAGACGTAGTAGGCTATATGAGATAAAAATGACATTTGTTTAGCAGAAAAAAAAATTCGATTGAATATTGAGCATTTAGGTACGAAACGAAAAGAAAAAAATCGCAATTTGTGCATATGAGAAAAACAAATTAAAAAAGGTTTTTCCTTAAAAGAATATCGTTTTTAGTAGGAGGTATGGTTTCTCCGGAAGGCCAGCAACTTAAACACTTTTAAGGCATCGAGTCAATGAGGCTATTAATGAGGGGCTGGGGTATTCCGTCCCACTTCTCCAGAAGAGCTCTTTACAGTTTTTGGAGAGTTTGTGGGGGTGTTTGGCGTCCAGTAATTCGTCTGCCTAGAATGTTCCAAACGTGCTTGATTGGGTTCCTGTCCGGAGAACGTGCTGGCCAATCCATTCTATGATTCTTTCCTCCAAAAGGAAATCATTAACCAAGTAAGCACGATGTGGCAATTGTCGTCCATTAACATGAAGTCATCTCCAATTGCTGCAGGGCAAGGGAAAAGAATAGGTTTCAGGATCTCATGCCTATATCGGCGACCTGTCAGAGTTCCATTTTGAATTATATTGAGATCGGTGTACTTATCAATGGAAATGCCAGCATAGACCATCCCTCCCCTACCTCAAAATCTTACACTTTCATGCCCGAACGCAGAATAGTTTCTAGCGCCACGTTCCCTTGAGATGAAAATACGCCTATTATCAGGACGAACAGAAAAACAAGATTCGCCAGAGAAAAGAATATTGTGCCATTTATTTCTCCCTCAGTTCACATGCTCTGTTACCCACTCCATGC